AATGCCTTCCCCAACTCACACATGCACACGGGGAGGGGGGGGGCAGTGCAGGGGACAGGAGAGGTGGTGGCTGTCTTGATTTCTAGATGATTCAGCTCTGGCCCTGGCTCCCTGCTGTGTGTGCACGTGCAGGCACAAGGGCCGCAGGGCGGGTGTTCCAGCACGAGGCGACCTCATGAGGCTCCATCTTTTGGTGGCGACCCCTTAGGGTGAGGGGGGCTCAGACTTTGGTGTTCAGAGGCAGCGGACAGGTGAGGGGGCCTTCTGCCCAGCAGCCCCCTTCCACCGTGCCGTCTGCAACGGAGCCTCCAGATCTGGTCTGACAGGCTGGTCCCACATCTGTGGGTGTCCTCGGGGGAGGGTGGCTCACCCGGAAAGTCAACCCCTTAGCTAATCAGAAGCCAAAGGCCCACACACTTAGGGGGGGGTCAGAGCTTCTGGGCATGTGCGGGGGCGGGGGGGGCATGTGCCCACCAGAACCAAAGCACGGGAAAGGACCTCTATTTCGAACAGCGAAAACTAGAAACACCCCACATGTCCACCAGCAGGAGGAGGAACAATACACTGTGTATTCATGTCGTGGAATGCTACACGGCAACGGAAAAGCACCCATTACAGCTGCGTGCGATGCTGACTCTCATTAGCATCATACTAAGTAGAAAAATGCAGGTGGCCTTCCATATCATGTGATTCCATTCACATTGGGTTAAGAGGAAAACAGGCAAAAGCCATCTAATATTTTAGCAGCGTGTTGGTAAGTGCTGAGACCCTGGAGAAAAGCAGGGGCTGGGGACCAGAAAGGTCAGAATAGTGGCTCCTCCAACAGAAAGAGAGAGGCCAGGCTGGGGCGTGGGATGGGGGTTCCTGGGATGCCGCTGTGTAGTGACAAGGCGGGTGCTTGCTTTATCGTCGTTTGTGTTGTGTGCACTTTTCTCTAAGTGTGTAGTATTTTGCAAACGTTAAGAAATAATCTTTAGAAATCATGCTGTACTCCTGGAGGATGCTTCCCAGGCCTGCTGGGGGTCCCCAGGGGTCCCTGCGTCCTCAGGGTCCAACTCTGAGCCACCTCCCCCTATTCATCAAACATCAGCCCTCACCTCCCGGAGGACAGGGACCAGCTTTCTCTTACCCACCGTCTCCCCTCTGTCACACCAGCCCCCCTGGTGGATATGGTCTTAGATGAGGGGCCCCAACAGTGCTGGGCAACAGTGATCATTCACACCCCAGGCTCCATGTGGAGGCTGCGGAAACTGAGACCCAGAGAGGAGAGGGAATTGCCCGAAACTCCTCACCTCCCAACAGTGAGCTGGCATCCAAGAGAGACCTCGATCCCTGCAATCTAGATATGTAATAACACTGCATCGTGTTCCCGGGTCTAGAACATTCTGGGTCTGTGCTATCCAATATGGTGGCTGACTCCTGGCCTAGGATACTCCAGGACTGCACTGTTCAGAAGGCTAGTGGGCTCCTAGTCTAGAACATTCTGGGTCTGCACTCTCCAATACAGTAGCTGGCCCCAGTCTAGAACATTCTGGGTCTGTGCTAACACAGTAGCCAACCTCTAATATAGGACGTTCTAGATTTGATCTGTCCAATGTGGTAACCACCAGCCACATGTAGTCACTTAAGTTAAAGTTTACATTTATTAAAATTAAATAACATTAAAAATTCAGTTCCTGAGTCATATTTGCCACATTTTCAAGGCTCAATAGCCACATGGACCTAGTGGCCACCATACTGGACAGCACAGACAGGACATGTCCATCATGGGAGAAAGTTCTATTGGACAGCACGTGTCTAGCATGGAGAATTACAACCTTATCCTGTTTTTGTAAATAAAGTTTTATTAGCACATAGCCACACCCATTCATTTACATGGTGTCTGGGCTTAGAACATTTTAGAACCATACTGTCCAATAAAATAGCCACCAGCCACATGTGGCTACAAAGCCCTTGCAATGGGGCTTGTGTGACTAGGGAATGGGATTTAAAAATTTGTTTAATAATAAGTAATAAACTATACTGACTGCCTGTTGAAATAATAAGATTTTAGAGATATTGGGTTAAAATGAAATATAGCATTAAAATTCATTTTACCTGTTTCTTTTTCCTTTCTAAACGTTGCTACTGGAAATTTTAAATGCTGGGTGTGGCTTGCATTATATTTCAGTTAGACTGCTCACCAGCTCTTTTCCTAACCGGGATTTATCCACCCGGGCACTATGACTTGGGGCACATCATTCTTCGTTGTGGGCCGTCTTGTGCCCTGCAGGGTGTTGAGAGCATCCTGGCCTCGACCCACAGCATCTTCAGTCTTGACAATGACAAATGTCCCCAGACATTGCCCCGTGTCCCTTGGGAGCCGAATCGCCCTGGGTGAAAACTCCTCCTAACTAATGTAAACTCTTCCGTTAGACAACAGAGGCTCTGGTGTGTTCTCAACAACACACCAGGCACGTTCCTGCCTCCGAGTCTTGGTACACTCTGTCCTCACACCACCCCCATCTTCATCTCCATCTGCCACAATCCTCCCATCTCTCAAAACTCAGCCCCAATGCTCCCTCCTCCAAGAAGCCATCCTGTTTGCTGTCTGCTGAGTCTGCCATCAGGTCAGCTGTTTCTCCCTGGTGATGCTGCCCCAGGCGCCCGTCCATCTGGCCGTTTATTTTGTGCTAACCTTCGTAGCGGGTTGAATGATGGTCCCCCTAAAATACACCCGAGTCCTAACCTCCGGAACCTGGGAATAAAACGAGACCTTAGTTGGCCCTCGCCAGATAGAGCGTCAGCCTACGGACTGAAGGGTCCCGGGTTCTATTCCGGTCAAGGGCGCATGCCTGGGTTGTGGGCTCGATCCCCAGTAGGGGGCCTGCAGGAGGCAGCCGATCAATGATTCTCTATCATCGTTGATGTTTCTATCTCTCTCTCCCGCTCCCTTCCTCTCTGAAATCAATAAAAATATGTTTTAACAAAAAGATAATCATAATAAAATGAGACCTTATTTGGAAAAGGGGTCTTTATGAATGGAATTAAATGACAGATCTAGAGATGAGCTCATCCTGGATGTATGGTCAGCCCTAAGTCTGATGGCAGGTATCCTTATACGAGAAAGGCAGGGGCCATTGGAGAGACGCAGACACAGAGGAGAAGGCCCTGTGACCACGGAGGCGGGAATGATTGGAGTAATGAGTCTACAAGCCAAGGAGCTCCTGGCAGCCACCAGAAGCTGGGAGAGTCACAGAAAGGATTCTCCCAGAGGGAGTGCTGCCCTGCTGGCACCTGGGTCTCTGATTTCTGGCCACAGAACTGTGACACAATATATTTTTGATGCTTTAAGTGCCATGGTTTGTGGTGCTTTGTTAAGCAGCCCCAGGACTCCAGTAGTTGGAAGGAGGGTTTTGAAAATTGAAATCAAACCAGGTCATTCCTCTGCTTGCCACCCTCCCATGGCCCCACTACCCTTGGAATAAAATCCAAACTCCTCACGTAGTCCTGTCCCTTCCTCTTCCCCATCCTCCTTCCACCCTCCTCCTCACTCCATGGCTTCACTCTGCTCATCTCCTCGGTGCTCCTCAAAGGCACTGAGTTTGGTCCCGCCTCGAAGCCTCTGTACTGGCTGTGTCCTCTACCATGGATGCCCTTTGGGCAGATAGGCTCCCTCCCTCCCTCAGGCCATCAGGTTGCCTCCTCAGAGAGGCCTTCCCTGACCACCTGGTGTATCTATAACCCACTGGGCCGGCACACCCCAGACTTCCTGTTCCTAGCATTGATGGATACAGGTGCCCCAAGCAGCTCCTGAATGCTTTTGATGCTGAAGGGTCTCTGAGAATCCAGAGAGAATGGCAAGCCCCACCCCCAGAGCCACAAATCTCACTGTGGTTCCTTCACTTTGCAGCAGGAGGTGCTGCCTGGAGACCTCTGCCCACCCAAAGAGGACAGGGCTGAAAGAGAGACCCGGGCCGGCCTCCCCTTGGGATGGAAATCCTGCCCAAGCAACCCCCGAATCATGGGGCTGAAGCTCTATTTGCTTCGATGTTCCTTTAACACACTAGGACAGTCCTGCCTCAGGGCCTTTGCACGTGCTGCTCCCGCTGCCTGCTAATGCTTCCTCATCTTTATGTCTCACACCTCAACCAGTGCCACCTGCATAACCACACACAACCACTCCGGTGTGACGCTTGGGCCCAGTGTGCAGTAGGCACTCAATAAGTGCTCACTCTGGTGATCATTTCTGTCCCTCTGAGCCTTATACCTCTTTCTGAGTCAAGACACTGCTGATCCCAAGAAGGGCCTTGGCCTTCCCCAGGCTGAGAGCCACCCCTTCGTTCTCCCCGCTCCCCAGGCAGCATCCAGACTCACCCCGGGCAAGGTCTTCTGTTCGTGCAGAGCAGTCTGAGCTTTGATGGCGGAGTCCCTGGCACAGTAAGTGAGGAAGGCACAGCCTGGAGGGGAGAGAATGGGGGTGTTAAGAGAAAGGGATGCTGTGCACCCATGTTCGTTCATCGCAGCATCATTCACAACAGCCAACAGGGAGAAACAACCCAAGTGTCCATGGGTGGATGAACGGACAACAGTGTGGTCCATCCACACAGTGGAAATTCACTCACTCTTTTAAAAGGGAAATGATGGCACCTGCTATGACATGGATGGACCTTAAGGACATTTTGCTCAGTGAAGTCAGCCAGACACGAACGGGCACATGTTGTATAATTCTACCTGTAAGAAGTCCCCAGGGAGTCCAACCCATAGAGACAGACAGTAGACCTTGTCAGGGGCTGGGGAGCAGTTTAGTGGGGACAGAGTTTCAGTTTGGAAAGAGGAGAAGGTCCAAGAGGAGGATGGTGGTGATGGTTGCACAGCAATGTGAATGCACTGACATGGATGGACCTTAAGGACATTTTGCTCAGTGAAGTCGGCCAGACACGAACGGGCACATGTTGTATAATTCTACCTGTAAGAAGTCCCCAGGGAGTCCAACCCATAGAGACAGACAGTAGACCTTGTCAGGGGCTGGGGAGGAGGATGAGGAGTCCATGTTTAGTGGGGACAGAGTTTCAGTTTGGAAAGAGGAGAAGGTCCAAGAGGAGGATGGTGGTGATGGTTGCACAGCAATGTGAATGCACTCAATGCCACTGAACTATACACTTAAAAATGGTTAAGATGGTGAATTTAGCATTATGTGTATTTTACTACAGTAAAACACCTGGGGGGAAGGGAGAAAAACATGAGGAAATGGTAGATTTTATATTATGTGTATTTTACTACAATTAAAAAGAGGACCCGGACCGAAACCACCTTTTGCGGGGGGAGGGGGGGGAGGGTGCAGTAGCAGTGGTTCAGCCCCCGCCACTTCCCAAAGAGTGAAACAGGGAGGGGAGAGAGGAGACCCCGCTGTTGATGGAGTCCGGGGCTGACACTAGATGAAGAGACTCTCCGAGCTGTGGGCTGGCAAAGTGCGGTCAGGGCGTGGTGGGGAGAGGACGATGGGGAGAGGACCCGGCACCGGGATGAGGAGCAGTGGGCTCTGCCACGGACTCGCTTTGTGGTCTTGGATGGGGCGCTGCCCGGTCTTTGCCTCTGTTTTCCCCAAAGAGCATGGTCCGAGAGTGCCTTGAGATGGACCCACCAAGGGGCATCCGAGGCTCCAGAGGGTGTGTGGTCCGGCGGCAAAGAGCAGAGCCAATCAGGAGAGGCCCTGGAGGTGTCCAAAGCCAGGGTGTGATTGGACGACGCCCTGGGTTGGGGCGGGGGTGCCAGGTGTTGGGAGTCACAGAGCAAGAAACATTGAGACAGAGACAGAGACAAAGAGAAGCAAAGAGAAAGAAACGCCCAGAGAAAGACCAATGAGATCAAAGATACTTTGAAAGATGTTTGCAGAAGACGGGGTGGGGGTGGCAGGCAGGTGTCCGGACCCCTGGGATGGACCGCCGAGGTCTGGGCCCAGGGCTGGGCTTTGCCTAACTTCTGCGGGCCTTGTTTTCACTGCCGGTGAAATGAGACCATCCTTGGCTGCTCTGATGCTGTTGGACCCTGTGTCCCCAGCCCCAGCGTCTCCCACTCATGGTCCCTGTCTCTCTGCCTCCCTTCACTCCCGACTTCCCGTGCAGAGCTCTTGGGAACAGCTCTGGGGAGCCACTTCTGCCCCAGGCAGGAGCTAATTAAAGCTGTGTCCTGCCACAGGGGCAATGCTTACCACAGTGGCTGCTCCCACCAGCTGGGCTGGGTGATGGGGAGGAGTGCCCGCCCCAAGCCTGAGAGGTCTTGGAACTCTGGGGAGGGGGGCACCAGGCAGAGCTGGAGACAGGCGCCAGCAATTAAAAAACATTTGTAAATGTAAAATGGTACAGCCGCTGTGGAGAACAGTTTGGCAGGTCCTCAAAAAAGTTAAACGTAGAATTACCATATGATCCAGCAATTCCACTCCTGGGTAGATACCCAAAAGAATCGAAAGCAGGGACTCAAAAGAGATATTTGTACACCCATGCTCACAGCAGCATTGTTCACAATAGCCAAAAGGTAGAGAAACACCCAAATATCCATCAACAGATGAGTGGATAGACAAAATGTGGGATATACAGGTGTCCCCCCAAAATGTATATACCCCTTAACAGCTGATAGCTCAATGTTGAAAATGAAATGTATTTTAATAAGCACTGCCTTTATAATTATTCAAAGTATGTGTACACACTTTTAGGACACCCTATATGTACAACGAAATATTATTCAGCCTTACAAAAGGAAGACATTCTGAGCCGTGCTACAACACGATGAACCCAGGGACCTTATGCTCAGTGACATAAGCCAGACACAAAAGGACAAATAGCGTATGACAGGGGTCCTCAAACTACGGCCCGCGGGCCACATGCGGCCCGCCAAAAACATTTATCCGGCCCGCCGGGTGTTTTTGCCGCCGCTGTGTGCATAGGAATTTGTTCATAGTTTTTTTTTAAACTATAGTCCAGCCCTCCAACGGTCTGAGGGACAGTGAACTGGCCCCCTGTTTAAAAAGTTTGAGGACCCTTGGCGTATGATTTCATTTTATGAGGAGTCACATCCATAGAGACAGGAAGTAGATGGTGCGTGCCAGGGGCTGTGGGTGAGGATGAAGAGTTAGTGTTTAATGGGGATGAAGAGTTGGTATTAAATGCAGTTTCGCTGGGGATGGGGGACACAGGGTCCAAGAGTTTCAGTTTTGCAACATGAAAAGGGTTCTGGAGATGGGTGGTGGTGATGGTTGCACAACCACGTGAATGTGGGTAATGCCACTGAGATGTACACTGTAAAATGGTAAATTTTACCACAATAAAAAATTGTAATTGGTATGTATTACAAACCTCCTCCCCCACAAAGGGCAGCATTTTATCCTATGATAAAATGCAATATTTTATCCTATGAATATACTACAAAGGGTTACCCATTGTCCTGTGGATGGGTGGCATTTAGGCTGCTCCCTGTTTGGGGCTATCATGAATAAAGCTGCCATGGAACATTCTCACATATATATTTTGATGCACAAAGGCATATCCAGGAATGGGATTGCTGGTTGTGAGGTTGGTATATGTTAAGCTTCAATCGGTTATTTCAAACAGTTTTCCGACGTGGTTGCCCCCACGTATACTCCCACCAATGGGGTCTGAGAATCTTATTAGTGCTTCTTTCTCACCAACTCAGTTTTCCCAGCCTTTTAAATGTTAGTGGTGGGTGTGCCATTACATTTCATTGAGATTTTAACGTACATTCCTGAATTATTGAAGCTAGGCAACTTGTTTCTTTTTAGAAGTTCTTTATATATATTGTGTGTTTATCTGTTTTTGTTTCTGTGTGATGCAAACATCTCCCAATCCATGATCTATCTTTCTATTATTTTTTTCTGTGTCTGTGTTTCTATTTTCTGAATTTAATCCCCAAAGGTCTTCAGGGAGATGAGAGGTGGTAAAATACCTAGCCCTGCCCTGGCTGGTGTTGCTAAGTTGTCAGAGCGTTGGCCTGCACACAGAGGGGTCATGGGTTCAGTTCCTGGTTAAGAGCACGTACCTGGGTTGCAGGTTCGATCCCCAGCCATCATCAGGGCGTGTGTGGGAGGCAACCAACCGATATGTCTCTCTCACATCAATGTTTCTCTTTCTCTCTCTCTCTCCCTTTCCTTCCTTCCCTTCCATCCTCTCTAAAAAGCAATGGGGGAAAATATCCTCAGTTGGGGATTAACAACAAAAAAGAATAACTAGCCCTAAAACCTGAGAGAAATTAGGCATGGCTGGCAAGAAATCAGGCTGCAGGCGATGCAAAATAGGGGCAGAACCCTTCTTCCTTGGGTCCTTTCTCGCCTGTGGAGCCCCACCTGCAGAACATGGAAGGGTAGGGAGGGACCCAGAGCAACCTTCCATACCATTGGCCTCTGTGTCTGTGAATTTTGCTGCACGAGGAAGAAATAACCCAATCGCGGGTCGCTGTCCCTGGTGCTGAAATGATTCCCAGTTCTCTTTGCCCAATCTCTTCTGGGACTCTCAGTTTTTCTTTTCTAGTTGGTGAAAATGTGTGATGTTGACCCGTTTCTAGATATATAGAGCCTTGGCATTCAGTTCCTGGTAGGGCTGAATCGTCTCCCTAGCCCTCATCGTGGTCCAGCCCCATGGACCAGGAGGTCACAGTTTGATTCTAAGTCGGGCACATGACCAGGTTGTGGGCTCAATCCCCAGTAGGGGGTGTGCAGGAGGCAGCCAATCAATGGTTCTTTCTCATCATTGATGTTTCTATCTCTCTCTCCCTCTCCTTTCCTCTCTGAAATCAATAAAAATATGTTTGAAAAATAAAATTTCCTAATACAGTAAGTAACTAGACGTGCCTCACCACAGATCTCTTTATAAGGAGTATCTTCATAAAAGGGAGGAAATCCTGACACGGAGACGTGCACACAGGGAGAAGGCCATAGGGTCCATCCTCATGCCAAGATCCTCTGCTCTCTGCTCTGAGATCTGATCTTTGGTGATTTCGTGTTGAAATTGTAACAACAATAATAGTTGACTTCCACTGAGCACCAGGCATCTTATGGGGGCATGCCACCCATATCAATCCTTTGAATCCTTAGACTAGACAAAGATAATGGCACTATTGTTTCTATTATTACCTCCATCTTGCAGATGGGGAAACTGAGATGCCAGCCACTGAGTCATCTGCCCAGTGTCACAGAGCAACAGGGGCCAGAGGTTTCTGAGTTTCAGAAAACCACCGCACACTGGGGACTACTTAAGTTGCTGAAGCTTGTTACACTGACTGAATGGCCTAAAAATGTTTTAAAATGAAAAGGAGGGCTTTTCCTTCTTTACTATTTATAATGCTTATTCTCATGCATAAGTCTGGGATTTGTGTCACTCCTGGGGAGCTTTGGTAACTCTGGGGACTGACCCTGGGCTGGGCAGGTCCCTGGACCCCCCGTGCTCAGCCTCTCACTGAACGGGGCTCTGAACACCACACTTCCTTGGTCCACACACCCTAAACCTAATCTTTGGGTCATTTTCTCCTCACCTGAGTCACCCTCTCCTCTGGTAAGCCTCACCCCCCAACCAATGC